ACCTAACCAAGGAAGTGAAAGACCTATACCCTGAAAACTACAAGACACTCTTAAGAGAAATTAAAGAGGACACTAACAAATGGAAATTCATCCCATGCTCTTGGCTAGGAAGAATTAATATTGTCAAAATGGCCATCCTGCCTAAAGCAATCTACAGATTCAATGCAATCTCTTTCAAAATACCAACAGCATTCTTCAACAAACTGGAAAAATTGTTCTAAAATTCATATGGAACCATAAAAGACCCTGAATAGCCAAAGCAATCCTGAGAAGGAAGAATAAAGTGGGGGATCTCGCTTCCCAACTTGAAGCTCTACTCCAAAGCCACAGTAATCAAGACAATTTGGTACTAGCACAAGAACATGCCATTAGACCAGTGGAACAGAATAGAGAGCCAGATATTAATCCAAACATATACGGTCAATTAATATACAATAAATGAGCTATGGATGTACAGTGGGGAAATGACAGCCTCTTTAACAGCTGGTGTTGGCAAAACTGGACAGCTACATGTAAGAGAATGAAATTGGATCACTGTCTAACCCCATGCACAAAAGTAAACTCGATATGGATCAAAGACCTGAATGTAAGTCATGAAACCATAAAACTCCTAGAAAAAAATCATAGGCAGAAGTCTCTTGGACATAAACATGAGCAACTTCTTCATGAGCATATCTCCCCAGGCAAGGGAAACAAAGGAAAAATGAACAAGTGGGACTATATCAAACTAAAAAGCTTCTGTACAGCAAAGGACACCATCAATAGAACAAAAAGGCATCCTACAGTATGGGAGAATATATTCATAAATGGCATATCCGATAAAGGGTTGACATCCAAAATAAATAAAGAGCTCAAGTACCTCATCAAACAAAAAGCAAATAATCCAATTAAAAAATGGGCAGAGGGTCTGAACAGACAGTTCTCCAAAGAAGAAATTCAGATGGCCAACAGGCACATGAAAAGATGCTCCATATTGCTAATCATCAGAGAAATGCAAATTAAAACCACAATGAGGTATCACCTCACACCAGTTAGGATGGCCACCATCCAAAAGACAAACAACAACAAATGTTGGTGAGCAAGTGGAGAAAGGGGAACGAACCCTCCTACACTGCTGGTGGGAATGTAAGCTAGTTCAACCACTGTGGAAAGCAGAATGGAGGTTCCTCAAAAAACTAAAAATAGAAATATCATTTGACCCAGGAATTCCACTCCCAGTGTTTACCCTAAGATTGCAGGAGCCCAGTTTGAAAAAGACATATGTGCTGCTGTGTTTTTCGTAGCACTATTTACAGTAGCCAAGAAATGGAAGCAACCTAAGAGTCCATCAGTAGATGAATGGATAAAGAAGATGTACATATACACAATGGAATATTATCCAACCATCATAAGAGAACAAATCCTACCATTTGCAACAAAATGGATGGAGCTAGAGGATATAAAGCTTAGTGAAATAAGCCAGGTGGAGAAAGGCAAGTATGCAATGATTTCACTTATCTGTGGAGTATAAGAACAAAGCAAAAACTGAAGGAACAAAACAGCAGCAGACTCACAGAACCCAAGAATGGACTAACAGTTACCAAAGGTAAAGGAACTGGGGAGGATGGGTGGGAAGGGAGAGATAAGGGGGTAAAGGGGGCATTAAGATTAGCACACATAATGTGGGGAGGGGGCACAGGGAAGACAGTACAACACAGAGAAGACAAGTAGTGACTCTCTAGCATCTTACTACGCTAATGGACAGTGACTGTAATGGGGTATGCAGTGGGGACTTGATAATTGGGAGGTCTAGTAACCATTATGTTGCTCATGTAATTGTACATTAATGATACCAAAATAAATTTAAAAAAAGAACTCTTATGCCTCAATATCCAGAAAGCAAATAACCCAATTAAAAAATAGACTGAGGACCTGAACACACACCTTTCCAAAGAAGAAATATGGATGATGAACAGGCACATGAAAAAATGCTCCACATCATCATCAGGGAATTTCAAATTAAAAGCACAATGAGATAACACCTCACACCAGTTAGGATTGCCACTATGCAAATGACAGGAAACAACAAATACTGGTGAGGATGTGGGAAAAAGGGAATCCTATATTGTTGGTGGGAATGTAAATTGGTTCAACTCTTGTGGAAAGCAATATGGAGTTTCCTCAAAAATCTAAAAAGGGAAATACTATTTGACCCAGTAATTCCACTCCTAGGAATTTACCCAAAGAGAACAAGATCCCTTATTCAAAAAGACATTTGTACCCCTATGTTTATTGCATCACTATTTACAGTAGCCAAGATATGGAAGCAACCTATGTGTCTATGAATAGACAAATTGATGAAGAAGTGGTACATATACACAATGGAATATTATTCAGCCATAAAAATTAAAGAAATCCTGCCATTGCTACAACATGGATGGATGTAGAGGGTATTATGTTCAGTGATTAAGCCAGGTGGAGAAAGACAAATACTAAATGATTTCACTCATTTGTGGATTATAAAAACAAAGCAAAACAGAAGGAACAAAAAAGTAATAGACTCACGCACAGAGAAGGGACTAGTAGTTACCAAAGGGGAGGGGTGGGGGACGGTGGATGGGGAGGGAGACGGGGGATTAAGGGGCAGTATGATTCACAATCACAATATAGGTAGGTCACGGGGAAGGCAGTACAGCATGGAGAATACAATTACTGACTCTATAACATCTTACTACGTTGATAGACTGTGACTGCAAGTGAGGTCTTGATAATATGGGTGAGTGTTGAATCACTGTGTTGTGTACGTAAAACCTTTATAAGATCATATATCAATGATATTCTAATAAAGAAAAAAACTGGTAGATAATTGGTAAGGTGATATGAAAAGATATTTCAGAGTAGAAGGAATGGAAATGGCCGAAGATATATGATAAATAGAAAGAAAGAAAGGAAGAAAGAAAACTACAGGCCTAAAATGGAGTTACTTCTGCTAGGCCAAGTCACCAAACCAGGGTTTAACACCTAACCTAATTGCAATTTTAACCTACCCCAGAGATGTCCATCAGGAATTTTCTAGTCAGCACCAATGAGGTAATCTGTCACATGAGCCCCTCCATTCCCTCTGAAGAAGATGAGGTAATCTGCATGATAAGACCACATGTACATCCCTTAATGGAAAATGACCAGGCCTGAAATAGTCCCTTTTCTTTTGTTAATAACTTCTTGCCCTGTCCTGTTTATAAAAACCTTCCATTTGGTAGAACTCCTTGGAGCATCTCTACTTGCAAGATGGGATACTGCTGAATTCATGAATTACTTAATAAAGCCAATTAGATCTTCAAATTTACTTAGTTGAATTGTTTTTTTTTAAACATATCCTCCTATGATAAACTGGTAATGTAGTAAGTAAAATATTTTCCTGAGTTCTACAAGCCATTCCAGCAAATTAAACAAACCTGAGGAGGTAGTCATGGGACCTCTGATTTATAGCCTGTTGGTCAGAATCATAGGTAATAACCTGGACTTTCAATTGGCACCTGAAGTGAAGGAGCACGCGTTTGGCACTGAGCCCTTAGCCTGTAGGATCAGATACTTTTCCCAGGAAGACACTATCTCTGGGTAGTTGGTGAAAGAATTGAGGTAAATTGTAGGTCACCTAACTGGTGTCCCAGAATTGCTTGATATGTAAAATCCACATGTCTGGAATCAGCAGTCTTGTAGTAGAGTATTGCAAGTACAGGGAAAACACAGGAGGAGGATTTTTTTTCCTTTATAGCTGCTAAAATTACACTTCTGAGAAAAGACCATTCCATTCCTGCTTAAGAAACTGAAAGAGACCTACCTCTGCTCAGCTGGTGTCTATCCCTTTGTGCTGTTACACTGCCACTTTCAACTAATACCACTGCTTGTCATAAGCAGTCCATGCTTCTTCAAGGTTCTGGATGTACCCACAGCTGAGTTAAGGCCCATCCTTATGCCAAAAACTCCATTGCTCAGCTGGTTGATTGTCACTATTTGGAGGTCTTCATCACTTTTGCTGCTGTCACTACTTCTGTTGAACTTCTGTAGTGTTATGCCTTCCTGGTTTTTTTTTTCCCAAATGAGTACACCATGGCTAAATTACTCTACTTGTTTGCACAGAAACAAGGCTGGATTCAGTACTTTAGCTCTAAAAGCTCTCAGCTAACCCTTGAGTGGATCCCACTGATAAGGTAGCATTGTTCCCTCACTGGACTAGGCCCTTATCTTGGGCTAAATAGACTGCAAGAGTTGTGACATTGTAAGTGAACCTGAAGTGAAGCACATGATCAGCTCCAACACTGTGTAGGATGGATATTCTGCCTTGCCTTCTCCTCAGCTGAGGGACAGCCACCTGTGCCTGTAAGGTGAATGTCTTTTCTCCATGGTCAGATTTCCTTGGGGTTCTCCAAGTTAACTTCATGGAATTCCGGGGCCCAAAAACAAATGAGCCTAGTTACAATGTGTTTATACTTCAGAGTAGTCTCTCAGGCCTTTGACAGTCCCCTCCACTATCTAAACCTGCAGTTAAAAGTGGCGTGTAGATGGTGCTGCTTCCTCATTCATCTTAGAAATAAAAAGAGATTCCAAATATCATTGGATGTTTGAGTTGGAATGAACCTTCAAGAGCATCTAAATCAAGTATCACATTTTCTATGGCAACTTTGGCACCCAAAAAGGTTAAAGATTATCCCAGGGTCCTATATATATTTAATGGCAAAGCTCAAACTAGAACCCAGACCTCATGAGTCCAGTACTCTTTCCATTATACTTACACATCTTCAAGCACCGAATGTGTAATGAAATCATGTAGAGATGTATGTATTATGTAGTATGCCTTATAGAGAGAAGGCTCTCCAACTGCTGTCAGTTGAGTAATAAATGCTTTCACTTTCAGGGAAGTGACATACCAGAAGAGTTGGGCTTAGTATATGTGGATTTCCATTGTTACATTTCTCCATGCATTTTTCTATTTAAATGTTGTTTTTCTTTTCTTCTCAAAGATCTTCAGTTTAGATCTTGGAGGTATATCAACTGTTGTTTTAAATGGCTATGATGTGGTAAAGGAATGCCTTATTCATCAAAGTGAAATTTTTGCAGACAGACCGTGCCTTCCTTTATTCATGAAGATGACAAAAATGGGAGGTATGTTTATTGTCACCTATTTAGTGATTACTAAACTATTTTAAATCACATTCCTTATTTTATTTAAATTTAGTACAGTTTGGATTCCATTGTACTGATTAATAGGAATTAATTAATTAATTTTGGCTGCAGAATCTAATATTTGAGGGCTGTTCAGGCTGCATTATACTCCTACTTTAGACCACTACATGCTAATTTTCCTGTTGTGATCCAGGTCTAATAAATACAGTAAATAATAAAGAATTAGCATTTAATAATATCTGCAGGTCTTGTGAAATGAGTTAGGAATACACACACATGCGCACACATTTGAATCAAAAGTGTTTTGAAAGCCAGTCTTGAATATTTGTTGATGTATTTTGTAAATACATCATAAGTTTATGGAACCCAAAGCAGCCATTCTTAACTACTCATCTACATGATAGGTAAATGAAGAATTGTAGGATTTGTGTAAAGGACTAGGATTCTGTATGGTTTAATGTTGATCAGTATTTGATCCATATTCAACAGGGAGAAAGGCTGAAAGTTAACAGAATTAGTGAAAAGAAAGCAACAGGAAGCCTACAATAGAATGGTGAAGTTAGATACAATGGCTTTAATACTTAAGAGCAAATGTACAATAATGGTGTCCAAACTCTCTGTAATTTAATGAGAGCATCACAGTATAATAATTTCAAAGAAAATTTTAACAGTATCTTGCTTATAATATCTTAAAAATGAAAACATTGATTGAAAGGAAAGAAATAAAATTAACCACTTAAACTGCAAAGCAAATCAACTAATGCAAACACTAATTTTAAGAACAAATTCTCTGGCCAGAGTATAATGATACTTGAAAGTAATCATAAATAAAACATAAATCTCTGGCCCTTAAATACACTTCTAAATAATAATTAGGCCAAAAAAGAAATTATGCCACAATTACAATAGAAGGTCTTTAAAGAAATTATGAAAATGAAAGGTGATGTGATTGGAGTTATATTTGGAATAAAGTATTATATATATTTCAGAGCTATAAGTTTATAGTTTATACCATTTTCGTTGTAAAGATAAAATATGTATTCAACTTAAGATTTTCAAAAAACAGAAAAATAGGTAGAAAGTTATATGTCTAATTTTAACATACATATGCACTAAACTTGGAACTGGGAAATCAAAACCACCACTAGCCCACTCTTTGGAAGAAAAGTTGCCCTTGTATGGGCTTAGCTCATGCCTGGGCATACAGGTTGGCCTGTGTAGGATTATAACAAAGCCCCTGTGTACCTTCTTGTACATGCATCCCATATGCATACTTTTCTCTAGGGATTCCTCCCATCTCAGTGCCTTGCACTAAAGCTGTTGCCTCTACTAGCAGTGACCTTTCCCCAGATATCTGCCAAACTCAATCTCTCCTCTCCTTTGTCTTTACTTACAGCTTAGGGAGGCTTTCCCTGACCACCCTATGTCTCCTTCCTTGCTTTGTTATTTATTTGTGTGCCTCTCCTCACTGGTATGTAAGAGACCAGGGATCTTTGCCTCTCTTGTTCACTCATATATCTGTGATACTTAACTCTGCCTAGGACACAGTAGGTGCTCCATAAATACATGTTGAATGAGTATTTGTTGAATGGTTATTTGGGAGTATGGAAAAGAGAATGAACTATGGCAATAGAAAATGGCTGCACAGCACTGAAGACCTCCTTATAGATGGTTAACTTTATCATAAGCTCCAATTTTAAAACTTGTTGCACAGAAGTTAGAATGTAATTACATAGGTACCTCATGTAGACAAGAGAACATGACATATTTCATAAGTACATATATGTACCAGTTATGAAATTTTGAGTAAAGTACATGTTAAATAAATACATATGCTAAAGATGTTGGGTTTTTTCTTGATAGTTAATTTAAAGGGAAAATATTCTGTAGTAGCCACATCAGAACAGCAGAATATACTGTAGAAGCTCTGAAATTCTAAGGCAAGTAGTATCAAATTAGAAGTTTTTCATGTTTGCCCTCCTTCTTAGTTTGGGTGACTTGAACAAATATTTATCCCTAAATATCTGGAGGCTGGAAAATCCAAAATCAAGGCACAGCAGATCTGATGTCTATAAAGACTCTGCTCTTTGGTTTGTAGGTAGCTTCCTTCTCCCTGTATCCTCATATGGCCTAGAGCAATCTCCTGTTCCTTCTTATAAGGACACTTATCCCATTTATGAGGGCTCCGCCTAGCTACCTAATTACCTAACCATGACCTATTTACCCCTCAAAGGCCTAACATCCTAATGCTATCATATTGGGGATTAGACTTCAATGTAGGAATTTTATGGGGACACAAACATACAATCCATACTGTCCCCCTTCTGGCTTGAGTATTTCCATCACACTGATACCTCATTCAGGCTACCCGTGCCCTCTGCGAAAGTTATCTTGTTAAGTAACATATGCCTGTAACAGGAGGAAATTTGTATTCTAAAATCCAGTTTCTTAAAACCGAAAATTTCTAATCCTAGAATAGTTTTCAGGTGTTTGTTTACTCCAGGATAAAATTTTGCCCATGGAACATGCAGCCATTTGTCTTTTGTAAAATAGGCTTACAGTAAAAGTTAGACAATCAAGTTACCCAGGCCTAGTTCACCCAGGTTGAATTACACAAGACTGTCCAGTTTCATGTGGCAGGAGAATTACAGGTCTTTTCTGCCTGTACCCAGATGAAAAGTAGGTAAGTTTTATCTTTATAATTTTCTATGGCTAATGGTAGCAGAGAAGACTAGGTCTAGTTTTAATTTTAAAGAAAGACGACATAGAGAATGACTAAGAAAGACTAACCATCTTATTTCTTTTTTTCCTACTCCATAGCATTTTCATTTTCAGCTGTTAGATACAGGGTTATAAGAATGGTAAAAATTTGTAATCTTTCTTTTTTTCTCAGGCTTACTCAATTCCAGATATGGCCGAGGATGGGTTGATCACAGAAGATTAGCTGTAAACAGCTTTCGCTATTTTGGATATGGCCAGAAGTCTTTTGAATCCAAAATCTTAGAAGAAACCAAATTTTTCATTGATGCTATTGAAACCTACAAAGGTAGACCTTTTGACTTGAAACAATTAATAACAAATGCTGTTTCAAACATTACCAATCTGATCATTTTTGGAGAACGATTCACTTATGAAGACACTGACTTTCAGCATATGATTGAGTTATTCAGTGACAATGTGGAACTGGCTGCCAGCGCCTCGGTCTTCCTGTATAATGCCTTTCCGTGGATTGGTGTCCTCCCTTTTGGAAAACATCAACAGCTGTTCAGAAATGCAGTTGTGGTCTATGATTTTCTCTCCAGGCTTATTGAAAAAGCTTCCATCAACAGAAAGCCTCAGTTACCTCAGCATTTTGTTGATGCTTATTTAGATGAGATGGATCGAGGTAAAAATGACCCGTCATCTACTTTTTCCAAAGAAAACCTGATTTTCTCCATGGGTGAACTCATCATCGCTGGAACTGAAACTACAACCAATGTGCTGCGGTGGGCAGTTCTCTTCATGGCCCTTTATCCTCACATTCAAGGTGAGGATATTCTTGATCTCTTACTTACCTTTAAGGCTAAGACATGTTTTAGAGTCTTTGGCCATGTACAAAGCATTTTATTTAGAAATTCCTGCTGTCCTAGCCAAGAAGAAAAATATTTAATAGTTCTAGAGTCTTCAAATCTATTACTCAATTCATGTGAAAACCTCAGAGGTAGGTCTTATGCCAATTTTACAAATAAGAGAAAAGGCTGAGTGGCTGACTTGGCCAAGCTCAGCCACTGGAAATGACAGAGCTGGGACCTGAACCCCCACTGTTATTTTTTTTTAATTCAAATTTTGTCCACCGTTTTCCTTGCTGAAAGTGATGTTACTTCAGTTCTAGGTTTGTTTAATTATTATTTTTATCACTTCTGATGTGTTTTTCACAACAAAGTTACTGAGAACATTGGCTATTGGTAATGTAAGATGTATGGCATATATTTAAATAGAACTCCCAGATAATGGAAAAATCTGAACCTGGGTATACCTATACCCTGTTGGCTTGTAAGTCATCCTTTTTTTTACCCCAAAGGGAAATTACTGTAGATCTAAGAATTGTATAATAACTTGAACAATTTTTCTCTGACAGGACAAGTTCAGAAAGAGATTGATTTAATTATAGGACCCAGTGGGAAGCCTTCTTGGGATGACAAATGCAAAATGCCTTATACTGAGGCAGTTTTGCATGAAGTTTTAAGATTCTGTAATATAGTGCCATTAGGGATTTTCCATGCAACCTCTGAAGATGCAGTTGTGCGTGGTTATTCCATTCCTAAAGGCACAACAATAATTACAAATCTTTATTCTGTACACTTTGATGAAAAGTACTGGAGAGACCCAGAGATATTCTACCCTGAGCGATTTCTGGACAGCAGTGGATATTTTGCCAAGAAGGAAGCTTTCATTCCTTTTTCCCTAGGTAAGAAAACTTTCACAGGGGCATAACTTTAGGACAAAGTATAATGATGATTCATCATGTATAACATCTTAATCTGAAACATTCTGTTGTACAATTAAATATTCCAACTCTGAGAAAATAACATTGATTTTTACAGGAGAGAATGGTTTAATTAGAGGTCACTGATATCGGTTTCTATTCAAAATAAACAACCCTTAATTTAGTAACTAGAGAGAAACTGTTGAAAAGCTCTGGCTTCTTCTGAAACTTTTTTGCTTGTGCATTTTTGGCTTGTAATCAAAACTTGTAGAGCTGGAAGTCAGTAACAGGTAGATTGAAAAACGGAGACCGAGGGAGGGGAAGAACACCATTAACTTGGAGAAAAAAAGAAAGTAGAATGTAGCTCTCTGGGCTCCTAGTTTATTGCACCTCATCTCCAAAAAAACTGCTTCTGCTTTGAAAAAGTACACAGATCCCAAGACCCATGAGAGACGGACTGCAGACTCTTCCCTTCACTGGGGAGGAGTATATATTTAGTCACTGCTCCTGGATCTATAGAACAAAATGCCACACCTCAAGTTTTAGACGTTTCATGGCATATCCTAAGCTCTGTTGCAATGTACAAAGTGGGGAATGGGACTAGTAAGTTTATAAAAGTCCATGACCTCGCAAAAGAAGGTGAAAGAAATTGGCTATGAGAGCTAAAGTGCTAATTTCTTTTCTTTTGGGTTTAAGAAGATCCTCTCATAAACATAACTTTCTCTAACATTCTTTAAATTCCAGATTTATGAATAGCACCTGTATGTTAGGCATAAATCTTGGTAACTATTGTGGATTTAAAAATATTAATGATGTCTGTTTTTTCTGTCAAGGGAGAAGACATTGTCTTGGAGAACAGCTGGCTCGGATGGAAATGTTCCTGTTTTTCACAGCATTGCTTCAGCGGTTTCACTTGCATTTCCCACATGAACTGGTTCCAAATCTGAAGCCCAGGTTAGGCATGACTTTGCAACCCCAACCCTACCTCATCTGTGCAGAAAGACGCTGAAACTGCATGAGTATTTTTTGGAACAAGACTGTTTGCCTCACCCCTGAACTTTGCTTAACCTAATCAGTGTGTATGTTTGGACCAAAGCCACAGCATCAGAAAGGCAAATGAACACAGATGTGTCTTTAAAACAGTACTAAAGCATAAGCATTAGCTAAGACTTTTTTCAAGCTTTTATGATTTCTACAGTAGAATTATCTGTTGAGAAAAACAAAGATACAAATAACAGGTCTTGCTTAAGATACTAAAAAGGACCATGGTTACCCTGAGAAGAGCCTGATTTTTCAGTCTCTTTTGAGCACCAGAAGATACTCCTTATCCCGTTTTGACCCCTTCTTGCTCCTGTTCTGAGAGCTTTGTTTCTAAATGCCAGTGCCAGCTCCCTTCTGATCAGGTATTGTCATTAATAGATTGTGTGGTATTAGTCCAGTTTAACAGAGAACTAAACAAGAAATTAGAACCCAAATAAATGAGTTTGGAGTACAGATGTATTTTAGACATGGTAGCAGATGACAGAAGAAATACCTATATATTTAATGTAGAACCTGCTAATGCTTTCAAATCTTTCCCTACTATATCTTCATTAGAATTGCATCATTCTTCCTACAAATGAGGGTATCTGTGACCTCTGAATATTTATCCCCATAGCAGCATTTCAGTAGCTAGGCAATTACAATAATGTATTTTAAAATGACATGTAACTATTAGGTTTTTGTAGGCACATTATCCCTAGTACCACTGTTTTCCAAAACTAGTCACAATGCTTTAAGATTGAATCCTTTTATCTTTTAATGGTCTCTAGGCATTCCCTTGGATTACATTTATTTTTCTAAAGATAATACTACAAAAAATGTGCTTTAGACCCAGGGCAACTGTATACATACATTTGGACACATGACAGTGATGGCTTCTATTAATAATTATGCTGGTAAAACAAAGGTAAACTGCAACTGTCCTAATCAAACTGGTATGTATATTCACTCATTTATGGGTTTTTTTTTTACATTATTTCTTCTAAAGTTGTACATTAGGGTTCTGTCTCTTATAACTTGGCTCATGAATATCTGAAGCCTTAGAGTAAATGCAGATAATGACTTCCATTAAAAATATGAATTTAGCCTTATTCGACTTCATCTGTTGAATATTTTCAAGTTTCTGTGTAGTAAGTCGAATCTTTGCAGTTTCTTTTGTTGCATGGGGGAAAAAATCTTGTGTAAATTTACTTAATAAAGGACAAATTTGGAGGTAGTGTGGCAATTTTAGGGTAAGTATAACCCAGATACTCCATGATGTAATAAGAGATCCTGTTTCTTTGCATCCCTCAATTTTTCCTTTTATGTGGTATCAGCTTTATCTTAAGGATGTACATATGCTTTGCCCACCTCCTTGTAATGAGCTTTTGATTATTTTGGGAGATCAGAGGAGCTTTTCAGATGTTTATCAAAAATTGTTCTTAGTGTCCCATAGGTCCTAACCAAGATCTATGCCCCATCCAGTAAAACCACGTTTCGCGAGTGGGATTATGGTTCACTTAGGCCTGATGACTAGAGCTCATGGAGTCGGCTTCCCCCAAAGTACATGTGCTGCAGTAAGAACACAAATATAGTTAGTAGTTAACTAAACAAAAATATCATTTGGTATAGTTACCTAAATAAAAATAAGGGGAGTTATGAAGAGAAGAGGAACTCCTGACTAGGAGGCTAATTACAGTATCTACTTCACTGCCCTCTGACCACCTGCTAAGCCAAGCAGCTTTCCAGCCCACCTCCCTGAATACTGACAAGCACGTTCATTCAGGTTGCTTCCTGATCTTTGCTCTTCCTTTGACACAGCAAATCCCTCATCACTAGGCCTCCTACTTATTGTCACATCTCCTGTAAATGCCTAAGTTGAACTCTACAGAATGGGGACCTGGAGGCCTTGTATTCATACTGAGCAAAGAAATGTAGTGAACTGGAGTAGGTTGTAATCAAAATTGAGAAAGCCTTATTTTGCTTTTGAATACCACCATTATTTCGTAAGAACTCTGATGAACCTGCACAGAATGGAGAATATGCTGTTTATTTTCTTTATCTTATATTTGAGGAAGTGTTATATTTTCCCCAAATCAAGTTAATGCTAATTGACAAAAATCACAAAAAATGTATATTTATAACTTTAAACACTGTAGAGTTTTAATCTTAATGTGCTTATTTAATAGCCAAGGAAATGGGTTCAGACAGGGAAGTGGTTCCTCTAGTTCATAGCAAAGGCATGTTCTTTTTCATTCCATGTTCTTTTTACTCAATACCTATTTACTCAATAATTTATACTATACAATTTATAAAGCTTTTACAATTTGTAAAGCTTTTACAATTTATAAATTTTTACATTTGTACAATTTATAAATGTTTTACTCAACATTTTTTTACTCAATAATTTATACTATACTTTTACAATTTATAAAGCTTTTCATATTCTGTCAGCTCTTGACTGTTTGGAGCCAGTTAAATGTGGTTAAAAATAAAATGCTTCATTTTGGCAATAATACAAAATAACATGAATTAATAGGTAATCCATAATGAAAAAACCTTTTCTTGGAACTACGTAGTAACAGTAGTGGGAACCTTCTGCCCTGGAAGTCTTTGTCTCTCATCAGTTAGTGGTGAGCTACTACTTAGAATATTGAAAATCTAGCTTCTGATTCAAGATGGCTATTGAGCACACTTACTTTTCTTCAAATGCCACTGAAATAACCATAAAGGTAGAAAAGGGGATATAGACATTAAGAATGGGGTTGAGAGTGATATTAGTGAATCAGATTCTTTCAAGTTCTAACGGATGGAAGGTAAATGGAATACTGAAGTAACCATAGATAAGGCCATGCATAGACGAAGGCTGTGGTAGAGATGGAAGTTCATTCTTCACAGGATAGCTAAGGAGAAAATCAGTAGGTAAGGCAAGGAATAGGTAAGAACAGCAAAAGCGGAAAAAAAAATCAAGGTCATGTCCGTGTCCTCACTCTGCTTTCTCTTCCTGTTTGTGCAGTTGTGGAACGTGTTCCCAATGCTGAAGTAAAAGTCTAAATAAATTGAGTACTCTGCTTAGTGGTGTTCCTACATAGGGATTGGTGCCCTGATTGGCAGTGCACTAATTTCTTCCAATTTTGAACCTGAAGTTCTGTATCATTCAAAATATTGATGATAATTGGGAAATGTCAGCAAAAGGCTAGTGTTAGCTGAATATATTTAATTGTAGAACTATGGCTAAAACAAAGGTGGAATAAGTATGACAGTAATATCTAAATGTTTTATACTCTGACAGTGTAGAAATAATGTATCTAACAAAAAAAAAAGAGGAGAAAAAAGTAGGATGTAAAATAGCCTCTCTGAATGCCTCTCATAATAGGAGTCAAAGAGTATAATTTAAAACTGAAATCAAGTGGTAGAATTTTAAGTAGATTTAGGAGTGCAAAAGTAAAGGATAGTAATACTGCCTAAAATTGAATAGTGGAGAATATATAGAGGAAGGATGTACAAGCTACTTTTATTATTCATCTAAGAGAAACAGATACTGTCCAAAGAAACAGGGCCCAAAAATGCTATTTAAAGGTATAAGAATAAAGATGACCACTAAATTAAAAATAAGAACCCATCTGTCAGAACTAAAATTAATTTTTAATAAAGAGCAACTAATACTAGAAAACTAAGTCACATGAAAAATACAAATAGGCCTATCTCACCTATTAAAAAGGTGTTCAGAATGGATTACAGACAAAATCCAAAGCTGTATCATGCTATATACAAGAGACATCTAAAACTTGCACTTAAAGTTAAAAAGAAATAGATGGGCAAAGGCATATCCAACAAATGGAAATACAAAGAAAGCAGGAGTCATGATCTTAATAAAATAAGGTAGAACTGAAGGCAGAGGTATAAGCAAGAAGAAGTATATTTTACAATCCTAAAGACTCTAATTCTCAAGGAAGTTATAGTTATATGTAATATTGCACCAAATAACATAACAGCATCTTTAATGAAGCAAAAAAGATAAGAGATATGAAAAATATGTAGAAGTACATGACCAGTAGGAGACTCAATTTACTTTTCCCAGCCTGACTAATAAAGTAGACCAAAAATAAATGAAGATAGAGAAAACTCATTCTACATAAACAGTAAGGTAGATCTGATGAATATATACATCGAATTTTATACCTGAATATGACATTTTTACAAATGCTATGTAACGTTCATGAAGATTGACCACATAATGAACAAAAGTGAGCTCTGATAAATTACAGAAGTATAATTAATACAGTTTTTATTTTCTGAAAATACAATAATAAGAATGAGTATTAATAACAAAACCAGAAAACACAATTGCCCTTATATCTTGAAAACTTTTAAAAAATTGTACCATGATCTTTGGACAAAGGGTTTCAAATACAAAACAAAATTGCAGAATTTCTAGAAAACAATCATAAAAATTATGCATATCAGAGTGTATGCAACACAGCTAAAATAGTCCTAAGAAAACTCATAGCCCTGAATACTTATTGCAATGAAAAATGAAATGTTGAGAATGAATTGAGCATACTATTTTAATTTAGAAAAATAAACCAAAGGAAGCAGAAGGAAGCAATTGAAAATTCCTTACAAGCAGGAATTAATGAGTTAGACAACAGAAAAATAGAACTAATAAGTTGGTTCTTTCTTTAAAAAGTCAATATGTTAGATCAAGGGTCAGCACATCATTACACTCCACAGGTGAAATTGGCCCACCTGATTATCTCACTGAGTTTGACCTAAAATTATAAGGCAAAATAGTGCTTATATGGAAAGCATACTGAGGTGGAAGTCATTTCAGCAGCAACCTAACACTTTGAAAGTAACATCAGGCTGCTTTATATACTTACTGCGCTGTCAAAAGTTAAATGAAGAAGTGAAGCCTCCATTCCCACACAGCTTTCTGGGAGATACATTTTGTGAGCTCAAACTATAGTTACAGCAGCACTTTTTTGGACCTGGATGCAGTGCAAAGGAAATTTCCATATATCAAAATTTATTTAACATTGCAATTGAGGAGCTTCCACCTAACCTTCAATCACAAATGCTTAGTCTGTAAAGTAATGACTTGCTAAAAAGCAAATATAAGAGAATTTAATTGTATTCAATAAATGCCTCCCCAGTGATTAATGTACTCAATAAAAATCAGATGCTCATGGATTGATACAAGTATTCAGCAGTACCCATCTGTCTTGCCAGTGGGTTTCAGCCCCAGGCAAGTTCACTATGGATTCAGTGAGACCGAAAAATGACAATGGAATATTCTCAGGGTGAAAGGGTTTCTACCCAACTTTATTCCCACTGTGGCAGATCAATCACTAGAATCCTGTGAGTCCGCATGCCGCAAGCTGCTCTCTGCCTCTGGGCCTCTCCACCCTCACAGCCATCTCAGTCTCTGTCCTCAGTGCTGCCACCACTCCACTCTCTGCTCTCCTGTAGCTGCGCAGCAGCCATGCCACTATGTCACCTAAAGCACTGGGCAGAGCTCTTCATATAGTCAAGAACGTATTGCCCACACATTTGTACTAGCCAACCAGGGCCAGGTGAGAATCCTGATCATAGGAACCTTCACTTAATCCACACTCCACCCCTCCAGGATTCTCACCTCTCAATCTATGTGCCCTCAATCCTCTGCAGTGGTCCCTGTGGGAGGAAGCTGGAACATGGTAATCAAATTCAACAACAACATACGATGTAGAAATAACAAATTATAATAACCCCTCCAGCCTGAAGAGATCCATTGCCATCCTGGCTGTATTCAAACCAGTTCAACTCAAATGAAAGCTGAAACATTGTAACCAAATTCCATAACAACAGAGGCTATGACAATATACAAATAACAAAAAATTACAACAAATTATAATAACCCTCAAGCCTGAGGAGATCCACTGCCACCAGGTGGTCATCTGGCTGTATTCAAACCGGTTCTACTCAAATGAGTTAACCAAAAGGACCATGAGCAGGTCTTACAATACCCACCTTCTCCAGCCTCTCCAGCAGAAAGTCTTGCAGACAGACACACAGGCAGATCTTGTTGCTTTGTCTCTGACTTCTGCTTCATCCTCAGCAGCCAGAACCACTGCTCTGGTCTCAGTTGTTGCCACAGCTCCAGTAAGATTCTATTTGACTTCCCATCCAATTTCTTTCTGTCTGCTCCTGCCTTTATCAAATCAACCCACATCTGGGTCCTCGTGACCTTCACAGGGCCCTTTAAATTCTTCCTTCGAGTAGCGGACCGTTTTTCCTTCTGTGCTTTCATTGCTTGAGCCTGAGGATAGGAGCAGAGCATGGAGTCTCCACGACCTGGGGAGGGGGCTGCACCTCTCCTGGAGGAACCCGTGGTTGCTGACTCTTTATTTTCCTTCTGGGCTTTCTACCAGCTTTCAACCGGGTGGGGTTTCAACCCAGGAGGGGCTGATGCCTCCGGCACTGGCAGGGCCTCCACCCAACCTGTTCATCAAACCTCCGCTCCTCCATTTCTGGGGCTGACGGCTCCATTACATCCTTCACCTGCCCCATGGCACCTGCAGCCTGCACTCCCGGGCTGCTGCTTCTCGTGCCGCTACTCTGCGCTGCTTCCTCTCAGGCTACCACAACACCCTTTACCATTTCCACAGCACCTCAGAGTGACGCCATTTCAGTCACCAACAAATTTTTTACCTCCTCTACGGCACCTCACAGCTCACGGACTCGTGCTGCTCTTCTCGTGCTTCCTGCAGGAGGGCGTCTTTCTCCCTGATGGCCTTTCTCAATATCTTGAGAAGAAAACTCCCCACTGTTCCCGCGGCCTCAGGGGCACTCTGTTTCTCTAAGGAATTCCCTGTTTTGCTGAGGGCCAACTTTACTGCCTCAGGTGTTGCCTCCTCCCCTTCCCAGTCCTGGGGTGGGGCCCAGTCCTCTAGGAGGGAAGCCACATCGGACCACAGGTCCACTGGGGGACACTCGAAGGTCTCCCCATCCACAGACACAGCCCACTGAAACGCTCCTCCCATGAGGGCAGCCTGTTCTTTTCCTTGGTCAACAATGAATCCTGCCAACTATCACCAGTTGTGATGGGCTTCAGCCCCAGGCAAGTTCACTATAGATTCAATGAGACCAAAGAAATAACAGTGGAACGTTGTTGGGGTGAAAGGGTTTATACTCAGCTTTAGTCCTACAGTGGCAGGTCAGTCACTAGAATCCTGTCCACTCAGCGCGACTCTGCATGCAGC